CTGGACCTGCGTCTTGTGCTTGGCACGCGTATTCGGAAATGACACAGTGCACGGGTCTTCATACACTTGGCGCCACCGGCCTCGACGGCCAGACGACTGCATCCTTGCGTTCTCTGCCTGGTGGTCAACGTAACGCTAGCCGAACGAACGAGGGCCAAGACAAATGCCATGGTGTAGTAGTAGTTCGTTTCGCGGTGGACTGCAACTCGACCCTCGACAAACGGGAAATGTTTGGTCTGAGCACAGGCGTTCGGTTTGACTGGGTCTCGTAAATGTTGTACTAGTATTGATAGATTGTACTGGGGATGATGGATCTTCGTATTTGCCTTGACGTCGCTACTGGGTGGGCACCAACCTTGCAAACTTGGGAAGCCGCTGGGGCAGGCGTGGCCATCATCGCCACGGGTCTACAAGCAGCCACCGTATTGACGTCACTTGTGGAGCGTCCCTCGAGTGGCAGGCGACATGGAGGCGATACACGCGGATAAACGTCGGCTCGGACCACGTGGCGCTGAGCGACGCGGTCGTTGCGTTCAAGCCAGAGCGCGTAAGTTGACCCAGACCACAGCAGCGATGGTCGACGTGCTACTGAAGCTCGACAGAACGAACGCCAGCGAAGGTTTCCAGGACACGCATCGAAAGACGGCGACGTAGCGGCGCAAATGAGACCCACGCGGCAGTAGTAATCTAACGGTACTTGACGGCATAGTAGGTGGCTGCTCGGCAGGTGTGGCCAAGCCAATGGCGCCCGGAAACGGTAGCTCGCTAGGTGTTGCGATGCATGCATGCAAGGACTCGCCACCCTTCCTATGCAAACGATCCATGGACGGAGCAGCAGCCGGGAGCGGGCCGTGCGAGCTTGCAGTACTCGTTGGGCCACGCAGCAGACAATGACTGCGAGTTGGCGGATCCAGTCATCCGGGGCACCTTGAGGCAGTACGCCCTCGAGCTGCACCGCTACGTTGGGGAGCCATGAAGCGATTGAACATTCGTGTACCCACCAAGTGCCGCAGTAGTCGCATGCTCGCCGTGCCGAGACGACGGATCGAGCCAGCTTCCTGGAGATGTAGGTTGTGCCAACCTGGGGTCTCGAGCGGGATCGCTCACGCTGTAGTGGGCCAATTCTAGAACGACACGACCATCGCGTACTACATCATCGCACCGAACGTGGCAGACAATCGCCGCAAACAAGCGGTGGTTCGTGGGTTGTCAACACGACGACGGCGTCACCACCCGCGCCTGGTCAAGACGACGACGGCGTCACCACCCACGCCTGAATTCCGATGAAATCAACTACGACTCTCCAAGGCCGTTGAAAGAAAGACGGTAATAGGATACTACGTCCCAATACAACTAGACTGCGATCGGCTCGGCGTCGTACACGTCGTCGGCATGGGCGTGGTGCGTCGTTACCGACGCGGTCTCGCCCCGATGGCGGACGACCCAGCTCTCAAACTCGGTCACCGACACCATGCCCGAGTGGTCGTGGTCGATGTTGTCGACGAGGAGCTCCCAAAAGAGCGGCTTGACGTCCAAGCCGAGCGACTCGATGAAGCTCTTGAGCTCCACGAGGCTCCAGTTGCCGTCCATGTCGTGGTCGTGCATGGCAAAGATCGCTTCCACGTCCTTTGGCTGCACGTACTGTGCCAGCTGACGGAACGGCACCTTGGCTTGGTACCCGACGTACAAGTTGACGCCGGCCATCACAATCAAGAGCGAACCCGTCACGAGCGGTAGCACCATCGCATCGGCTTGGTACAGCGAGAGTGTAAACGTGCCAATGAAGAGGTAGAAGGCGGCGCGGCCGAAGATCGACGCGAGGAATTGCACAATGTTGTCTGTGATCCAAATGCGCGCGTCGCGAAAGAGGTGCAGTGGCGTCTCGACCACGACCATGAGCAGACCAAAGAGGATCACCCAGAGGTTGAGCACTACGTAGATGGGCGATGCCGACGAGCTTGTCCTACACGCAACAACCCATCAGTATCGATATTTACTTGACGGATCGTCGTACGAGTCGTGCATGGCGGCCACATTACTTAGGACGCCCGTGAGGACCGTGAGGCAGCTCACACCAATGTTGGCCTTTTTCAAAACCGACGACGGGACGTGGACGACCGACTTGGCCGGCGGCGTCTACCCATTCCTTTAAGTACAAATTGCGATGCAGCAGAGGCGTACCGGTGCGTCGTGGAGCTTGGCGCGCGACCACCAGTTGAGGAGCTCGGGCAGCGACAGCGTGTTGCTCTTGTCCGTATCAATGTCCCGAAAGATCGACTCGATGTACACGGCATCAATGCGCGACCCGAGGCGGTCGCAGAGGAGCATGAACTCGTCCATGTCGAGCTCGCCCGAGTCGTCGACGTCGACGCTAATGAAGGCCTTGGCCCACGCGTCTTGGGTCGGAATCGCGCGACACAAGAGGAAAAACTCGTGCGACGCGAGCGCACTGAGCAGCATGGTCGCGCTGCCGAGGAGCGCTGAGAGCAGGCCGGCACCGCAGAGCAAGAGATTTTGCCACGTCGCGTGGAGCACGAGGCTCATGGCGAGGAAGCCGACAAAAACCATAAAGACGCCGCGGCCAAAGACGGTCCCGAGCAAGGGCACTTGACGCACGACGAACGGCAGCACTTTCATCTCAAAGAATGAGAGCTTGATCTCCAGCACGATAAGCACGACGGCGAAGGCGAGGATCCACGCATTGATGAGGAAGACGAGCCAGTAGCCAGAAAACAAATCAAAGAGAAACGCGATCGCCGATGCACTCAGCAAGAGCACGCCGTTGACGAACGAGAGGACGCGGAGACTCGTCGGCGCCGACTGCACCCACCGGCAGAGACGTCGGCCGTGGGCCTTGGACGCGCTGAGCGCGAGCTCTTTCAGAAACCCCGGGTCGTCGTACGAGTGTGGCGCCGACCCGGGCGCGGACGGCGCCTGCATCTGCTGGATGACCACCGCGACCTCGCGCGTCGAGAGACCCTCCGTGGTTTCCACGAGCGTCTGCACCATGTTCTTCTCCTCTGGCGGCAGCGCGTTGATCACTTGGGACCGAACCTTCTCGGGCAGCGTAAAGAAGCTTTCGTGGACAGCGGCGGCGGTCTCGGGGTAGATTTGGCCGCGCGCGCTCTCTTCCATGAGCAGCAGTGTCGGCGGCAGCATCGATGGCAGCATGTCCAGCGGCACCTTGTCGAGAAACGGCAAGAGCTGCTGGAGCGTGCTCGAGAGGCCGGTCGCGAGCAACTCTTGGCTGGACTTGCTGAGACTCTTGACGATCGGCGCGGCGGCAATCACGTGGTCTGGATCGTCACCCGACGAGCCGTCGACCAGCGACACGAGAGCGTGCATGACCTCGTACTGGGCCGACGCCGGCTGCGACTCAATGGCGTCGCGGACGTCGCGAAACACGCTCGGATTCGCCTCGAAGAAACGACACTCGCCAAGAATGACCTCCCACTCGGGGCGCACATCGAGCGCGACTGTCGCCGACGGCTGGCGCACGACTGGCGGCGTCGGCGAGACGACGACGTCGACGATGGGCGCCGCAACTTCGGCGATCGCTACCGGTGGGCCGCGGGGGACATAGGCGGGGATGGGATCTTCTGCAGCCATGGGCGGGCCGCGGGGCACATAGGCAGGTGCGACGTCGTTCATGCTGTCGCTCGAGTGCTTGGACGAGAGCTTCTTGGTCGACTTGCGACGCGGCAGGAGCGCCTGGACGTCCGCCGGCAGCTGCGACACAAGCGCGGCGACCGTGCTTTTTGAGAGTGCTTTAAAGTACGCGGCGAGCAGCGCCTTGGAGTCGGCGTCCTCGACAATCGCCCGCGCCGACTCGGGCTCGAGAAGGCCCATGAGCACTTGGACGGTCTCGTACTGCGCCTCTTCGCTAGGCTGCGCCGCCAGGAGGCGCCGGACGTCGGCAAAGGCCGCGGGATGCGCCTGGAAGACGGGCACGTCGCCCAGAATCATGTCCCACTCGGACGCTTCGGGCTCGACCATCGGCTCGACCATGCTCCGTTCCGCAATGGCAAGCTTCCACTTTTCTCGTGCCGGATTGTGCCGGATACGGTACCTCTGCCGGCGGTATCCGGATGACCCACCGACACCGTGCCGCCTGTCTCGGCTCGACGGCGGCCATGGTCCTCGACCGACGCACCAGCGCTTGCACCTACCGATAGGTATCGATGGATCTGTACGAGGCTCGCCCATGGAGATTGCCATGCATAGTCAACGCTCTTCCTGGTGGCCGATTCCGCCGATTGGATCGCACATGGAAGAGTCGCCATCGTCGCTGTGAAGAACGCAACTCCACACGATGGGTACGGCGCAGAGCTCAGGGCAGCCCAAGGCCACCACGCCTGCCTCCGTCGGCGTCGAAAGTCGGTGGATGGAGAGCCCACGACACGGGGATCAGTCAGCATATATACATGTACCCGGTATGGTACAGCCAAGTCACGCGCCTCGTGGGCTTGGTTGTCTGGATGCAGCCGCGACGACCGTCGAGTCGAAGGTATTACTTAAGAGGACGACACCCGTGCCATCACCACGGTGCTCGCGGTTGATAATATCTTACAAACTACTACCTCCTCGAGGACGCCATCGTGGCATATTTAGGAGCTCCACGCGTTCTGGCCATCGTTGCCGGCGTTGCCCGTGTACGGCCGGTAGCCCTGGGGCTGCTGCGGGTACCCGCCGTTCCAGCCTGCCTGCGGGTTGAGGCCCTGGTGGCCGTAGCCGCTCCAGCCGCCATAGTGCGGGTATCCGCCGACGTTGGGCACGGGCGGCGACTGCGTGTGGTCGCGCGGCGCGTACTCGGGACGACCCTGGCTCTGCGGCGCGCCGCCTTGTTGTTGTTGCTGCTGCTGTTGCTGCTGCTGATGTTGCTTGCCCTGCTGCGCCACTTGGGGCTGCTGCAACGAGTGGCGCTGGGGCACACCGCCTTGCTGCACCGGCGTCGGCTGCGCATGCGGCGGCGGGAGGTAGCCGAGCTCGCCAAACCCTTGCGGCACGTACTCTTGCGGCACTTGGTGCGGGTCCTGGTAGCCGAGCGGCATGCTACGCACAAAAGCTTTGGGACTCACCGACAACACACCAAACTACACGTACGTCTGCGGGTTGGAGAAGCCTTGGAGACCCTCCATGCCATACGGCATCGAGCCGCGCGGCGGGTACTGCTGACGCGGGCTGTACTGCGGGTACTAGGGACAAACGCGTTAGTGCTCGGACGCCGTCTTTTTCGTTGCGCGTACCTGGGGGCTCTGGTAGTAGCCGTAGCCCTGCTGCGGGTAGTAGTTGCCATAGTTGTACGGGTTGTACGGCATCGCCATGCCGGGCGGCGGCGGCGGCGCAAAGTGCGGGTGGTACGACTGGCCCGGCAGCATCGGTGGCTGCTGGTACGGCGGCTGCTGGTGCTGCATGTGCTGCGGCTGCTGCTGGTGCTGCTGCTGGGCAGCGGGGTTGGCCGTCGGCGCGGGGTTGGTCGTCGCCGGGGCTGCCGCCGCCGGGGCCGCCGCCACGGGCCCGGTCGCGGTGCCCGTCGTGTTGGGCGTCGTGGCGCTGCGCGCGTTCAGTTGCGGCTGCATCTTGGAAATCGGCGTCGAGTTGCCACCGATCGCGCCCTGGTTGCGACCGGCAATACCGACCGAGTACTGGTTGTACGCACTCGGGTTGGCCGGGTACAGGTTGCTGCCCTTCAGATCAAACGACGGCGACGCCATGTTGGGCGATGCCGGCGCCGCCTGAGTGTTGGCGCCAGTGTACTTGGGCACCTGGCGCTTGACGTCGTCGGGCTTGGGCAGCGACGCCGGCGACGGGGCCGCGGGTGTGTACTGCTTGCGCGGCGACGCCGCCTTGCGCGGGCTCACCTGCGCATCCATGCCGGGCGGCGGCACCGACGCCTTGGTCTTGGGCGACTCGTGCTTCTTGGGCGACCACGCGTTGGCCGTCGTCTTGTTGCTCGGCGTGCCCCACGTGGCCGAGGCGACGCTGGTTGCCGCCGGCGTCGTGTCAATGGCTTCGAGCGAGAAGCTGCCAAACTGGAGCGAGAGCTCGGTTTCGGCCACGGTCTCCCAGCGACCCATGCTAAACTTGTTGCGGATCGGCGACGACTTGGGCGACGGCGACCCAAACGTGAGCGAGTGCGTCGGGCTCGATTGACGCACGGGCGTCATGGCCTTGGGCGTCGCAACCTTTTCCTTCTTCGGCGACGGCAATGGCGACTTGGGCGTCTCGATCGGCGCGGGGCGCGCCCACGCATTCGTCGTCGTCGTCGGTGCCTGCTGTTGCTGCACCTGTTGCTGCTGCTCCCACTCGGCGTGGGCCTTGGCTTCCTGCAGCGAGGCACCCCAAGATGCGATCGTGGCCTCCGGCTCCATCTTCTTTTCAGCCTTCTTAGGTGAGCGCGACGGCCACACGGGCTCGGGCTCTGCGACGACGACCTTGGGCTCGTCCGTGACAACGCCCCACGTCTGGTTCTTGGCAAGCGTCTTCGGGCTCACGGGTTTGGGGCCCGCATGTACGACGGGGGACGCAATGTGTTGATGTTGTTGCTGTTGGTGGTGCTGCTGCTGCTGCTGAACCTGCGGCTGAGGCTTCGGGGGCGCCTGCTTCTTTGCGACAAAACTGGGCTTTTGTGCCCACGCTCCTGTAAGGATTGGAGCCGGTGCTGAGACCACCGGCGACGGCACGTACGTGGCCTTGGCGTCGTCTTCG